TCCATCCCTTCCTCCCCTCTTTCTCTCCATCCCTTCCTCCCCTCTTTCTCTCCATCCCTTCCTCCCCTCTTTCTCTCCATCCCTTCCTCCCCTCTTTCTCTCCATCCCTTCCTCCCCTCTTTCTCTCCATCCCTTCCTCCCCTCTTTCTCTCCATCCCTTCCTCCCCTCTTTCTCTCCATCCCTTCCTCCCCTCTTTCTCTCCATCCCTTCCTCCCCTCTTTCTCTCCATCCCTTCCTCCCCTCTTTCTCTCCATCCCTTCCTCCCCTCTTTCTCTCCATCCCTTCCTCCCCTCTTTCTCTCCATCCCTTCCTCCCCTCTTTCTCTCCATCCCTTCCTCCCCTCTTTCTCTCCATCCCTTCCTCCCCTCTTTCTCTCCATCCCTTCCTCCCCTCTTTCTCTCCATCCCTTCCTCCCCTCTTTCTCTCCATCCCTTCCTCCCCTCTTTCTCTCCATCCCTTCCTCCCCTCTTTCTCTCCATCCCTTCCTCCCCTCTTTCTCTCCATCCCTTCCTCCCCTCTTTCTCTCCATCCCTTCCTCCCCTCTTTCTCTCCATCCCTTCCTCCCCTCTTTCTCTCCATCCCTTCCTCCCCTCTTTCTCTCCATCCCTTCCTCCCCTCTTTCTCTCCATCCCTTCCTCCCCTCTTTCTCTCCATCCCTTCCTCCCCTCTTTCTCTCCATCCCTTCCTCCCCTCTTTCTCTCCATCCCTTCCTCCCCTCTTTCTCTCCATCCCTTCCTCCCCTCTTTCTCTCCATCCCTTCCTCCCCTCTTTCTCTCCATCCCTTCCTCCCCTCTTTCTCTCCATCCCTTCCTCCCCTCTTTCTCTCCATCCCTTCCTCCCCTCTTTCTCTCCATCCCTTCCTCCCCTCTTTCTCTCCATCCCTTCCTCCCCTCTTTCTCTCCATCCCTTCCTCCCCTCTTTCTCTCCATCCCTTCCTCCCCTCTTTCTCTCCATCCCTTCCTCCCCTCTTTCTCTCCATCCCTTCCTCCCCTCTTTCTCTCCATCCCTTCCTCCCCTCTTTCTCTCCATCCCTTCCTCCCCTCTTTCTCTCCATCCCTTCCTCCCCTCTTTCTCTCCATCCCTTCCTCCCCTCTTTCTCTCCATCCCTTCCTCCCCTCTTTCTCTCCATCCCTTCCTCCCCTCTTTCTCTCCATCCCTTCCTCCCCTCTTTCTCTCCATCCCTTCCTCCCCTCTTTCTCTCCATCCCTTCCTCCCCTCTTTCTCTCCATCCCTTCCTCCCCTCTTTCTCTCCATCCCTTCCTCCCCTCTTTCTCTCCATCCCTTCCTCCCCTCTTTCTCTCCATCCCTTCCTCCCCTCTTTCTCTCCATCCCTTCCTCCCCTCTTTCTCTCCATCCCTTCCTCCCCTCTTTCTCTCCATCCCTTCCTCCCCTCTTTCTCTCCATCCCTTCCTCCCCTCTTTCTCTCCATCCCTTCCTCCCCTCTTTCTCTCCATCCCTTCCTCCCCTCTTTCTCTCCATCCCTCCCTCCCTGCACCCTCTCTTCGTCCCTCGCTGTCCCCGTACACCCACCTACCCCCCCTCCCCCCTCCCCTCCACCCCTCCCTCCCCTCACCCCCTTCCTCCCGGCCTCACCTCGAACCCCTGAAAAAGTGTTCATATTTTGAGCCCCCAGCGAGGGAAGGACGTCACTCGCGCTCCCGTGCCAGCGCTCTGCCAACGCCGGGAAAACCTTCTCTCCGTGAATAGTAATAACCAGAAGAATGTTTATACGTCCCTGCTCGTCTTTCACATAATTCCTTTGGCATATTCTTCTCCTTTCCTGAGTGGATAAAGGAAGCTTTGTAGCCGTAGCCGTAACGGAGAGATAATTTCGTATCTATGCTCCGTTTAAGTGTTTTTAGATGATGTTCGATAAGAATGTTGAAAAGGGGATAGACCGTAGTTGGTTTAATGGAAATAGTGGAGTGATTCAGTGCATCTGAATTTCGGCCTTGGATATCGGGTGGGAAAGAATGAGAGGAAGATACACACACTCACGTACGCGCACACGCACCCACACACTCGAACACGGACATGGACACGGACATGGACACACGCGCACACACACACACACACATACACACACACACACACACACACACACACACACACACACACACACACACACACACACACACACACACACACACACACACACACACACATACAAACAGTTATCTATATAGCTCTATACTGTATAAATATTATTATGATAGTATGTATGTATCTTTGTGTGCTTGTATGTATGTGTATATGCATGTCCGTATGCAGTTATGCGAATATATAAACAAACACACACATACGAAAGACACACAAATAGATAACAGAGAAAAGGGAGAGGGAAGAGAAGCAAGTTTAACGGGGAAAGTATTGGACTGTGAACTGCACATTTCTATCCTTCAGCGTGAAAAAAATAGAGCTTCCTCCCCCACTGTATTTAATCGCCTAGGCATTAGTCTCTGCAAATGCGTTTAGGATTTTCGACCTTCCTGACTTCCTGGCCAGTTGTCGGCAATAAAATGGCGCTCTTAGTTCCGGCAGGTCGTCCATCACGGTTTTAAATTGAAGGAAAAAGATTAATTATACCAATGACGCGAGAATAACAGTGGCATAATGTGTTAATCAAATTGATTTCCCGCCACAAATAAGAAGACAGTTGGATGGGTAGGAGTAGAGAGGGAGAAGGGGAATGAAAGAAATAGATAGATATGTAGGTATAGAGAGGGTGAGAGAGTAAAAAAAAAAAAATGAAAAAAACAAAAAATCGATCACATTCAAATGGATATCAGATGGACATCACAAAAAATGCGATTTGGAAGGTACGTGACGCGTGTCAGTTACTTCTGTGACAACTATGCATGTAATGACTCCAATATATACGGACCAGCTTAACGATGTTTAAAAAGTTTAATTACAGACAGTTATGGAAATAATGCCCCCCTTCCTCCTCTAAGGAGAGAGAGAGAGAGAGAGAGAGAGAGAGAGAGAGAGAGAGAGAGAGAGAGAGAGAGAGAGAGAGAGAGAGAGAGAGAGAGAGAGAGAGAGAGAGAGAGAGAGAGAGAGAGAGAGAGAGAGAGAGAGAGAGAGAGAGAGAGAGAGAGAGACTGAGAGACGGATATAGACAGATACAGAGAGAGGGATGAAAGAGAAAGAGCGAAAGAAGAATGAGAGAAAAATAAGAAAGAAAGAAAAAAAAAGAAAGTGAATTAGGGTCGTTTTTTAAAAACTCCAGACGAGTTTTTAATGGAGTTGGAACCTTACCTTCCCCAGGTAACATCAGACCATTAATCAGCTACGGAATTTTGCTACGGCTTTCCTGTACACTTGGCTGGCAGACCGGGGCACTTCGCTGTTCTCCATGTGGGTCGTTTGCTGGCATTTCGTTCATTAGTCATTTTTTCCTTTAATATTTATGACTAGACAGAATTTAAAAATCGCCTTAACGGTTTTTTAGGCAGGCCAGATGTTCCCCCCCCATCGCTAATGGGTTATTTCGAATATTTTCTGCGTGTTTTTTAGGGCAAGATTGGATTGGGCAGATCAGAATCTGTTTTTTTTATAATTGATGATACACATTTTTCAGTAGTTTTTATAAGGAAACCAAATACCGGTATTTTTTTTCTTCATCGCTTATGGGTTATTTCTTTTATAATTTATTCGTAAGGATCATTTTCAATTATTTTCAGAAGATGGATATCAGCAAACTATCCCTCCGTCATTACCAAGTGAAAATGAAAGCTAGCCAAATGGTGTCCTTAAGCGACCAAGACTTCTTTAACTGCAGCAGCTTATTTGGGCTGAGGCATTATCAACACGTTTTTTTTTTTTGTATTTTTAATTAAATCTTTATAGGATTACAATCTATATAGGATTCTAAATCATATTCCATTACCGTTTTCGATTTCATTTTAGATCACATTTTTTTTTATTTTATTTCACGCAATATAAAAACAACAACTGAAAATCAGCTGGCTGTGTCACTTTCTCAGGCTCGCCTTTGGGCTGCCAGAATAAAATGGTTTTATCGGAAATCATCATCATCATCATTTTTTTTTTTTTTTTTTTTTTTTTTTTTTTTTTTTTTTTTTTTTAACCAGGAAGCATTGAACATCCCGCAACGATTTTAAGTGCTGATGTGGAACATTAATTCTGTTAGCGATTTATCACTTACATAGACTGATGAATTAATGTTACAAATCAGAGTTTACGTTAATGTTGATGTAAAAAGGCTTTGATCTCAATATGCTATTAGCTCGATTATATTGTATAACGCTGTAAAACTGGCCAGGCAAACACCCTCACATGCATGCATATATTCTCGCATGTACAGACACACACACACACACACACACACACACACACACACACAGACACACACACACACACACATATGTACATACACACATGAAACCATAAGATTTATGATAAATCCTTAATGATGATTTCACCTTAATTGCCCTCATTATCTTTGAAAATGACTTAATACCCAACCATACCCCCCCCCCCTTCGATCCATTCCAACACTTTTATCCTCTTTTTTTTTTCTTTTTTTTTTTTTTTTTTTACAAAATTCCCTCTCAAGTTTCTTGCCCTTTTCACTCTTAAAAACCCGCCCCTCTCTTGCCCAATCAAATGCAATCGCCGGAGAAAAAGGATCTTGCTAATCGTTTCCTCTCTTTCCCCTCTCGCCCCTTTCCCGTCCCCTCTGGTCCCTTCCTTTCCCTATCCCCTCGTTTTCTTCCATTCTCCCATTTCTCGTTTCCTTCCATTCTCCCATTTCTCCCTTCCTTCTCGTTCCCTCATTCCTCTAATCTTCTCTAGTCCCATCTTCCTCCTATTTCCTTCCTTCTTCTCTCATCTATCCTCCTCCTCCTCCCATTTCTCCCTTCCTTCCTTCTCGTTCCCTCATTCCTCTAATCTCCTCTGACCCCCTCTTTCTCCCACTTCTCCCCTCCCTTTCCCCTCTGGTATTCACGCCCCTCGTTTCTCATTCCTGCAGGTGAAAATCCCTCTTACTCGGAATGTAGACCACACATTGACGCCACAATCCGGGATCTCGCGGCTAAGGCCATCATCGCGGGAGAAACGCCTTCGGACAATCTGCAACACACTGACCATGGTAGGCGTCAGGAGGTGGGGTGGGGGTTGGGGTATGGGGTATGGTGGAGGGGTGTAGGGGTGGGGAGGGGGGAGGGGTATGGGGATAGGGTGGTAGAGGGGTATAGGGATGGGGTGGTGGGGTGTGGGGTGGGGGAAGGTTAGGAAGGTAGGGGGTGGTAAGGGATGGGATGGGGTGGGTAGGGGGAGAGGGAAATTGATGAAGAGGAAGAGAAAGGGGAGAGATAAAGAGGAAACGGGAGAGAAGTAAGAAGATGAAGAGGAAGAGGAAGCGAAGGAAATAGATGAAGAGGAAGAGGAGGGATATGGGGAAGGGAAGGAAGAGAAACAGAATAGGATAGCGGATAGGATGAGGTAGGATGGAGGGAGGAGGAAAAGGAAGCTTTTTTTAGGGGGAATGGGGGAGGAGGAGGAGGGGATGAGGAGGGAGGTGGGGAGAAGATGGAAAGATAGACAGAGTTGACATGGAGAAGAAAGGAATAGGCGAGAGATGGGTGGATGTAGGTGGGGATGTAGGTGGGGACGGGAAGGAAAGGGATAAGGGAGGGTTAGGGAGAAAGGGATAGGTGGGGTGGGGTGGAAAGGGATAGGAGAAAACAGAGCTGAGAGAGGAAGAGAGAGGCGGCAGGAGGAAGGAAAGAAAGGGGAAGAGACCAAAGATAGAGAGAAAGGTAAAATGTAAAGATGATAGAGCAGAATGGAGAGGAGACAAAAGGTAGGAGAGAAAGATGATAAAAAACACACACAATGGATAGAGAAGCAGATTGAAACGAGAAGAGAAGGTAGGGAATAGTACGGATATAGAGAGAGGGGAATAAAAAGGGAAGAAAGAAGGGATATGAAATAAAAAAAATAAACAAGAGACAGATAGACCTAATGGGAAAAATGAAGGCTGGAAAGAGGTACAGATTAAACAGAGGGGAAGAAGGAAGGAGATAGAAAGGACACAAAACAAAATCAGGGGAAAGAAATAGAAAGCAGAGAGATATAACAGAGGAATTAGAATAAACAAAGATAATGGGACACAGAATAGGATAAGACTCAACAAACCGGGTAGTTCATGGGCCAAAACATGGTAAGAATTCTCGTTCAACACGCACTGTAGAAGTTGCAGCTTGTTTACTAAGCATCTGTCAATATATTCTATTGAAATGTCTTTCTGCTTGGCTGCATTGTTATCACCATTACGTAGTACGCGTGCATGGTAAAGCTACCCCAAGTAATACCCTGCTTATTGTCCTGCACGTTTGACCTGCATGAAATGTCCTTAATTCAAGGAAATAAGCAAAATTAGAATTATGATATTTAAAAGATCCAAAGGCGAAACATGCCAGACACATATTCTTCGTCAATTTTAAAGTACAATTGTTGTTACTTTAATCGAAAAAAAAACGCATTGGCGTCCTGTTTTTGAACGAAAATGGTAAACAAAAACTAATGGTGATCTAGTTACCTAAAAAGCCTGGGTCACCATTAGCATCGAACTTCTACGCTCCTTCGTAGCTCGAAGTAGTGCGTCTAGCTTTAGCTGTGGCTTGTAGCAAGTACGAGAACACGCAGATCGTTTTATCATAGTGCGCCCTGTCATGCCCCACTTCCGCTCCCGTTCCTCCTCGAAGCTCACAGCCTCTTCTCTTACCCAGTGGAAGCAGAGAAGCCCGAGGAGGGTCCAGTCCCGGCCGAGGTCTCTCCCCCCCCTCAACCCGAAGCGCCCAAAGAACCGCCGGCCGTCGTAGAGCCTGAGCCAGTCGAACCGGAACCTGAACCCGAACCACCGAAGCCAGCAGCCGAAGCGCCAGCGCCGCCACCCGCGCCCGCCGCTCCAGCCGTCCCTGAGCCTCCAGGTAGGTCCCGTGGCTCTGGAAGCACGCTCAGGAGCTTACTGTAAAAAGCATGACCTTATATATGCGCACATATATATATGTGTGTACATATATATATATATATATATATATATATATATATATATATATATATATATATATATATATATATATATATATATATATATTAATTGAAGATTAGCAGCTATTGTATATAATTTGTATTGTTGCTATGTAAAACTAGTATACAATGTTATTAATAAGTGCATGGCAAGGAACAAAGACTTTCGAAAGTTCCCTTGAAGTCATAGAAAACTAATACCTGTCGAAGGTGACTCAGAATATTAGAACTTTAACAAATTGTTGCATGACTTAGCATAGCAATGCCTCGAAGCTATTTGTACTTTAGAGAGTCTCACTGGCTATTTCGTTTAGCTTTTTTTCTGTCGCTTTTAGTTTATTAAGCTTTTATTTCTAGTTTATCTAGTTCTTGCTTTAACCATAACAAAGGCGTAACAGATTTTTTTTCTTAAACAACTGCAAAGGCTTCATTATTTATTTTGCTTTCTCTCTTCTCTTTCATTTGTTTATTACTTTCTTACTAGTTTCATCTAACGAAGACGAAGAAGACGAAAATACAGATGACGAGGTTGAAGATGTTGTTATTATTAGAGACAGGGAGAGTAAGCTAAAGGAAGGAAGTGAGAAAAGAGGGGATAAAAAGCGGAAAGACGTAATCGGGAAAGATAAGATAAAGGAAGCAAAGGAAGAAGGAAAAGATGTCAAGAATAAGGAAACTGCAAAAGTTACAAAAGAAGAAAAGACGAAAAGCGGAGGTGGAAAAGAAACAAACGAAGAAGAAGTAAGTCAGAAGGACGAGGAAAAGAGAAGGAAGAAGAGTGACGAAACAAAAGATATAGAACTGGGCGATGAAAAAGATACTGAAGCAGACGAAGAAGAAAAGGAAGGAACTGATGATGAAGGAATAGAGGAGGTTGATGAAAAGAAAGAAAAGGAAGAGGTGAAGGAGGAAGAAAAGGAAGTTGAGGAAGATAAAAAGGAAGAAAAGAAAGTAGACGAGGAAGCGGAAGAAGATGAAGATGAAGAAGAAAAGAAGGTAGATAAAGAGGAAGAGAAAGAATTAGATGAGGAAGAGGAAGAGAAGGAAAGAGATGAAGAGGAAGAGGAAGAGAAACAAGAAAACGAAGAAGAAGAGGAAGAAAAGGAAAAGAAGAAAGTAGAGGAAGAGGGAGAGGAGGAAGTAGATGAAGTGGAAGAGAAAGAGGAAAAACAGGAAGAAAAGGAAATAGATGAAAAGGGAGAGAATGAAGAGGTAGATGAGGAAGAAGAGAAGGAAGTAGATGAAGACGAAGAGGAAGAAAAGGAAGTAGACGAAGATGAAGATGAAGAGGAAGAGAAGGAAGTAGATGAAAAGGAAGAAGAAGAGGAGGAAGCAGATGAAGAGGACGAGGAAGAAAAGGAAGAGAAGGAAATAGATGAAGAGAAAGAGGAAGAGGAGGAAGTAGATGAAGAAGAAGAGGAAGAGGAGGAAGTAGATGAAGAGGAAGAGAAAGAGGAAGAACGGGAAGAGAAGGAAGTAGATGAAGACGAGAAGGAAGAAAAGGAAATAGATGAAAAGGGAGAGAATGAAGAGGAAGAAGAAGAGAAGGAAGTAAATGAAGACGAGGAGGAAGAAAAAGAAGTAGATGAAGAGGAAGAGGAAGAGAAGGAAGTAGATGAAAAGGAAGGGGAAGAGGAAGAAGTAGATGAAGGGGAAGAGGAGGAAGTAGATGAAGGGGAAGAGGAGGAAGTAGATGACGATGAAGAGGAAGAGAAAGAAAAGGAAGTAGACGAAGAGGAAGAGGAAGAGGAGGAAGTAGATGAAGATGAAGACGAAGAGGAGGAAGTAGATGAAGAGGAAGAGGAAGAGGAAGAGGAAGAGGAAGAGGAAGAGGAGGAAGTAGATGAAGATGAAGACGAAGAGGAGGAAGTAGATGAAGAGGAAGAGGAAGAGGAAGAGGAAGAGGAAGAGGAAGAGGAGGAAGTAGATGAAGAGGAAGAGGAAGAGGAAGAGGAAGAAGTAGATGAAGACGAAGAGGAGGAAGTAGATGAAGAGGAAGACGAAGAAGTAGATGAAGAGGAAGAGGAGGAAGTAGATGAAGAGGAAGAGGAAGACGAAGAGGAAGAGGAGGAAGTAGATGAAGAGGAAGATGAAGAGGAAGAGGAGGAAGTAGATGAAGAGGAAGACGAAGAGGAAGAGGAAGAGGAGGAAGTAGATGAAGAGGAAGAGGAAGAGGAAGAAAAAGAAGTAGATGAAGAGGAAGACGAAGAGGAGGAAGTAGATGAAGATGAAGATGAAGAGGAAGAGGAGGAAGTAGATGAAGAGGAAGACGAAGAGGAGGAAGTAGATGAAGACGAAGAGGAAGAGGAAGAAGTAGATGAAGAGGAAGACGAAGAGGAGGAAGTAGATGAAGAGGAAGAGGAAGAGGAGGAAGTAGACGAAGAGGAAGAGGAGGAAGTAGATGAAGAGGAAGAGGAAGAGAAAGAAAAGGAAGTAGACGAAGAGGAAGAGGAAGAGGAAGAGGAGGAAGTAGATGAAGATGAAGAGGAAGAGGAGGAAGTAGATGAAGAGGAAGAGGAAGAGGAAGAAAAACAAGTAGATGAAGAGGAAGAGGAAGAGGAGGAAATAGATGAAGATGAAGAGGAAGAGGAAGAAGTAGATGAAGAGGAAGAGGAGGAAGTAGATGAAGAGGAAGAGGAAGACGAAGAGGAAGAGGAGGAAGTAGATGAAGAGGAAGAGGAAGAGGAGGAAGTAGATGAAGAGGAAGAGGAAGAGGAGGAAGTAGATGAAGAGGAAGAGGAAGAGGAGGAAGTAGATGAAGAGGAAGAGGAGGAAGTAGATGAAGAGGAAGAGGAAGAGGAGGAAGTAGATGAAGAGGAAGAGGAGGAAGTAGATGAAGAGGAAGAGGAAGAGGAGGAAGTAGATGAAGAGGAAGAGGAGGAAGTAGATGAAGAGGAAGAGGAAGAGGAGGAAGTAGATGAAGAGGAAGAGGAGGAAGTAGATGAAGAGGAAGAGGAAGAGGAGGAAGTAGATGAAGAGGAAGAGGAGGAAGTAGATGAAGAGGAAGAGGAAGAGGAGGAAGTAGATGAAGAGGAAGAGGAGGAAGTAGATGAAGAGGAAGAGGAAGAGGAAGAGGAAGAGGAAGAAGTAGATGAAGACGAAGAGGAAGAGGAAGAAGTAGATGAAGAGGAAGAGGAAGAGGAAGAGGAAGAGGAAGAGGAGGAAGTAGATGAAGATGAAGATGAAGAGGAAGAGGAGGAAGTAGATGAAGAGGAAGAGGAAGAGGAGGAAGTAGATGAAGATGAAGAGGAAGAGGAAGAGGAAGAAGTAGATGAAGAGGAAGAGGAGGAAGTAGACGAAGAGGAAGATGAAGAGGAAGAGGAGGAAGTAGATGAAGATGAAGAGGAAGAGGAGGAAGTAGATGAAGAGGAAGAGGAAGAGGAAGAAGTAGATGAAGAGGAAGAGGAAGAGGAAGAGGAGGAAGTAGATGAAGAGGAAGACGAAGAGGAGGAAGTAGATGAAGAGGAAGAGGAAGAGGAGGAAGTAGATGAAGAGGAAGAGGAAGAGGAAGAGGAGGAAGTAGATGAAGAGGAAGACGAAGAGGAGGAAGTAGATGAAGAGGAAGAGGAGGAAGTAGATGAAGAGGAAGAGAAAGAGGAAGAGGAAGAAGTAGATGAAGAGGAAGAGAAAGAGGAAGAGGAAGAGGAGGAAGTAGATGAAAAGGAAGAGAAAGAGGAAGAGGAAGAAGTAGATGAAGAGGAAGACGAAGAGGAAGAGGAGGAAGTAGATGAAGAGGAAGAGGAAGACGAAGAGGAAGAGGAGGAAGTAGATGAAGAGGAAGAGGAAGAGGAGGAAGTAGATGAAGAGGAAGAGGAAGAGGAGGAAGTAGATGAAGAGGAAGACGAAGAGGAAGAGGAGGAAGTAGATGAAGAGGAAGAGGAAGAGGAGGAAGTAGATGAAGAGGAAGAGGAAGACGAAGAGGAAGAGGAGGAAGTAGATGAAGAGGAAGAGGAAGAGGAGGAAGTAGATGAAGAGGAAGAGGAAGAGGAGGAAGTAGATGAAGAGGAAGAGGAAGAGGAGGAAGTAGATGAAGAGGAAGAGGAAGAGGAGGAAGTAGATGAAGAGGAAGAGGAAGACGAAGAGGAAGAGGAGGAAGTAGATGAAGAGGAAGAGGAAGAGGAGGAAGTAGATGAAGAGGAAGAGGAAGAGGAGGAAGTAGATGAAGAGGAAGAGGAAGACGAAGAGGAAGAGGAGGAAGTAGATGAAGAGGAAGAGGAAGACGAAGAGGAAGAGGAGGAAGTAGATGAAGAGGAAGACGAAGAGGAAGAGGAGGAAGTAGATGAAGAGGAAGAGGAAGAGGAGGAAGTAGATGAAGAGGAAGAGGAAGAAGTAGATGAAGAGGAAGAGGAAGAAGTAGATGAAGACGAAGAGGAGGAAGTAGATGAAGAGGAAGAGAAAGAGGAAGAGGAGGAAGTAGATGAAGAGGAAGAGAAAGAGGAAGAAAAGGAATTAGACGAAGAGGAAGAAGAAGAAGAGGAAGAGGACGACGAGACGAAAGAAGAGGCAGAGAAGGAGGAAAGTGACGTAAGAGAAACAAAAGAGTCATTGGACAAGACTTCTGAGACGCGGCACAGTAAGAGGCCATGAGTGTGACATTTCTGCCTCGTTGTTACCTTTTTTTTCCTTCTCCGACTCCGCCTTTCACCTGCTTGGCATTCCTTCGACGGCATTTCGGAAGGAAAGAATGATATTTCTATTGAGAGCTTTTTTTTTTTTTTTTTTTTTTTCTTTTTTTTTTTACCTTCCTGGTTAACCCCCATCACTTTGATCTTCAGGATATATTGCATGTTTCCACTTCAGTAAAAGATAAAGGTGTTTCTCTCTTTCTCACAATCTAAAAACACTTTTGTCATGATTTCCCCTGAGATTTCTCCAGAAAGGTTTAACTTTTATGTCCCTCTTTGTGATTTATATATTTTCTTGATCTGCGTGAGCGTGTGTGTTCTACACACATGCTGATGCACATACACACTCATAACCAAGTCTAATGAAGAGAACTGTACAAGAGGCTGACACGCTTGTCATTTAACAAAAAAAAAAACACTGGCGTTCAGATTTCATGCTAATTATCCTTTCTTTTCCAGTTGAAGTTCCAGTTTCTGCCCCGGAACCGGCGAAGCCAGTGGAAGTCCAGCCCGCGCCCGTCGCCAGCCCGCCGCCACAGCCCGCCGCCCCCCCTGCCCAGCCTGCCGCCCCTGCACCGCCTCCACCGAAACCAGCTGTTGCAGAACTTGGTGTCATCGACAAGTTAATCGACGTACTCTTTGGCATACCCAAGGGAGAGAGAGATCCCAAGTGGGCGAAGCCTTGGCAAACGCACCCGGAACATGCCAAGAAGCCAGTTGAGAAAGCTCCGGAAGTAGAACAGGGACCTGTTGGCCCTTCGGGAGGAATCATCGACAAATTTGTTAAACTGATCTTCCCGACTGCTCCTGAAACAACAAAGCGTGATCCCAAGTGGGCCCAACCCTGGCAGACACACCCTGAACACGCCAAAAAGAAGGTAGAAGTAGCAGTAGAACCTAAGGAAGATAAGCCTGTAGGTCCTTCTGGAGGAATCATTGATAAGTTTGTCAAACTCATCTTCCAGACTGTCCCTGAAGGCACAGTTCGAGACCCAAAATGGGCCCAACCCTGGCAGACACACCCTGAACACGCCAAAAAGAAGGTAGAAGTAGCAGAAGAACCTAAGGAAGATAAACCTATAGGTCCTTCTGGAGGAATTATTGACAAGTTTGTCAAGCTAATCTTCCAGACTGTGCCTGAAGGAACAGTTAGAGACCCAAAATGGGCTAAACCCTGGCAGACTCACCCTGAACACGCTAAAAAGGTTGTAGAGGCACCAGTGGAACCCAAGGAAGACAAACCCATTGGTCCTTCTGGAGGAATCATCGATAAGTTTGTCAAACTTGTTTTCCCAACAGTTCCTGAAGGAACAAAGCGCGACCCAAAATGGGCTAAGCCTTGGCAGACTCACCCCGAGCACGCGAAAAAAGTAGTGGTGGTCGTAGAACCAGAGGAGAAGGGACCAATTGGCGCATCTGGAGGTATTATTGACAAATTTGTGAAGATGATTTTCGAAACTGTCCCTGAAGGTTCAAAACGTGACGCTAAGTGGGCCCAGCCATGGCAGACTCACCCGGAACATAGAAAATCTGCTCCTCAACCAGTTGAAGCTCCCAAACCGCCTGTAGCACCTGAACCAGTTGTTGCTCCTAAGCCAGCTCCAGTCCCAGAACCAGCTCCTGTCCCGAAACCAGTCGCTG